ATCGATCTAGCAGCCCTTAGGCAAACTTTTACTTCCGAAAAGCGCGAAGACCGAATCCCCCTCTTTTGGGTTCCTACTGGGTTCCAGCTTGCTGATGTTCTTACGAAGCCGCTCTCGGCGGATGAATGGTGGGGAGTTCTCTTCGGGCGGATCAGATTGCCGTTCGTGAAGAGCGTTTAAAAGCAGTGCTCTGGAACGGAGCATGCTTAGGCAATCTTTTACTTCGGAGACTTTTTAAGCTGTGTGAAACCAAATCGCACAAATCGAGAAGTGTACCCGCAGGCTTTGCGACTGGCTTTGTCAAAAGGAGGGCGAAGCTCCTCTTCAGGTGGGGGGCCCTGGGGTGTGTCTTCTGCGTTCAGGGTTTCTTCAGGGTCCTGGGCATTCTCGTTTAGTTGTGGTCTCTTGTCTCGTTGTGGTTTCTCACTAAACCCTAAACTCAAAATCGTGCGGACCCTCTGGGTTTCAAGGCACCGAAGGAAGCTGAGTCGACGACGAGCCAACACGCTTCTTCTCCGGGGAGCCCCGCGCGTCCTGCTGGGGGTTTCGGCTGCTGGAGGTGTGGGGTTTAGGATTTAGGGTTTATAAGGGTGTTTAGGGTTTAGGGTTTATAAGGGTTTATAAGGGTTTAGGGTTTATAAGGTTTTAGGTTTATAAGGTTTTAGGGTTCATAAGGGTTAAAGGGTTTAGGGTTCATATGGGTTTAGGTTTTATAAGGGAATAGGGGTTTAGGGTTTATAAGGGTTTAGGGTTTAGGGGTTTAGGGATTATATGGGTTTATAAGGGTTTAGGATTAATGGTTCGGGGCTCGGGCTTATAGGGTTTAGGGGTGTGGGTGCGGCGATGCGGAACAGGGTGCTTTGGCGCTTAGGAACAAGAGTCAGCTTCCATAAACTATGTGGGGCTTAGAAGAACCAGCTTAGAAGAACCACCGTGTATTGTGTTGAGATCTTGCTGGGTCATTGTCGTGAAGCTCCCACCAAACTTCAACTGAAAGCCCTTAAGCCATTACGGCGACCCAACAGAAATCTAGCTATGTACCGTGATACCAAGCCCGCACCCTCAACTCTACCAGTCGCCGCCAGAACATCCCTCGAGCCTGACTTCCTTAAAGTGTCTAGGTGCCATAGAGTCATACCCCACTTTTTTGGGCGTACCTAGCCTTCTAGATAACAGATCGTAACCATACGTAAAACTAGCCACCCAAAAAAGGGGTAGGCTATGTAGTCTGTATAATGCAACAGTACTTGCAGACTTCGCAAACCGAAGCGACTATGAGCGGGATCGGGCTCGAAAACTGTGCGCTTCCTGATCCTAGGCCCTACAGCCCTACAAGGGCTAAATCTTATCTCGCCTCACTGCTAATCGACCCCTTGGCTAGCATCGGTGCTCAGGGAGGCCTTGTTGCACCCAATAACCAAGATCCCAAGCCTCTGTGTCAAAGCTGAACCCTGGGTCCTCACTAACTAACTTTTCGGGTTTGGGGTTTAGGTTTGAGAGTTTCCCGGAAAACCCATTTCACATTCTGAGCTACGATACCAGACTCCTCGAAAGGGCCCTACCACGAGTATCAGAAAGCATCTAAAGCAAGCAAGCAGCGCTAGAACCCCAAACACCAAGACCCTAAACCCTGAACCCCGAAACCCTAAAACCCTGAACCCCGACCTTCGAAAACCCTACACCCTGAACCCCGAAACCCTAAACCCTGAACCCCGACCTCCCTAAACCCTGAACCCCGAAACCCCACAAAACCAGGACACCCAACCTTCCGGGCGCGGTAGGGGTGCTTGCGGTTGTCGCGCTCGGCCAGCTTTTGCTGTAAGGTCCGGGACAGCTCCTGACTAGGTTTTATGTTTTGGCTAAGGCCCCAGGGTAACGAGACTGATAACTTCAGTACCGTGTTCTGGGATAACCAATTTTGTATGGATAGGATCCGTCAATGAGAGGTGCCAGAGATACTGCGTGTGCCAGGACTCCTTCATCTTCATCTGGACTTGTCAGGGACTACCGCTGTTTAAATTGATGTAGTACTTTCTCTTTCATGCTTGAATGATTTCAGCTTGACAGTTCTATGTTTGTGTAGACGTAGTAATCGTTGCCTCTTCATTCCCGAATCATGTTGGTCGCTGCAAAACGTTCAATTCATACGCATGCGCGGTGATCCCTGCGAGTGAGCCCCCCAAATCCTTCCCTCCACACCTCTCGTATTGCCGTGCTTTTTAGCTCTGTGTCGCCGTCTCTGTCAGCACCGACCTGATTTGTATCCAGCTCGCACCCATGTGTAGCCACTAGAAGGAGTTGTTGCGATGCTGCCGTTCGCATTCGCGTTTATAGGTGCTCAGTCATGCATCCTTTCTGCAGGAATTTACAAGGTTTACTTTAACCTGCCAGCATACCCACTACTTGTTCGAGGGGCTGCATAATCTATGTATCTATCTATCTGTCTATCAATCTATATCTGACTACCTATCTATTTATCAGCCTGCCTATCTATCTGCCTATCCCTCTCTGTATATGTATATTTTATCAGATATATATATATATATACACACACATATATATATATATATACACATACCCATCTAAATTTAAATGAATAAATACATATATATATATATACATACATGCACACATATGCATAAAAGCTACATGTACACACAGTATTTAAATTATAAACACGTTCCTGTGGGGTTTACATTCTGCTTAAAATGGGATCTACTTGGAGCATCATGGGACTTAGTAAGTAGGGTTATAATTAGGGTAACTATACTTATAACCCCAATTAAGGGACTTATAACCCTACTTACTAAGTCCCATGACCCTTTAAGTAGAGAGGCCTTCCTAAGGCTTCGGGCTTTGCGGCATCGCACTTGGAAGCCTGGGCCTACCGTGGAGCAGCTGCTTTAGGATTTAGGGCCATTAGGGCCTTAGGGTTTAGAGTTTAGGGGTTAGGGCTTTGGGTTTAGAGTTTTGGGTTTGGGTAGCTGCTTTAGCGTTTAGGGCCTAGGGTTTAGAGTTTAGGGTTTTGGGTTTGGGTTTAGGTTTGTTGACGGCTTAGGGTGTTTTTGCGTTGGGCGCCATTTTCCATCAGCCAGTCAGCTAGAGTCCAACATCTACGGTTTAGGGTTCATATAGTCTTTGGACCCTGTATCAAAAGCCTAGGAAACACAAGCTCCTGGAAGAGCAGCGCGATCTGACCCCTGGGAATGCCCTTGCGTCCATTCGTGTCCAGCACATCCATGCTGTAGCAGACGCGGTAGAAGTCCTCCAGCCGTCCGTTTACCCTAAAAACTATACCCCAAACTCTAAACCCTAAACCATTTCCTCTGGTTCATCGCCCCCTTATAAGGATTCTTGTAGGAGTTCCAAGCTTAAGGTACATTCAGGAAAGGTGTCTTCTGATCAGGGGTCTATACGTTAAGTAGGATCCCGATGTCGCTGTAAGCGTCTTACCCATCCTCTCCAACCAGCGATTCGGATCCTATGATGCGAAGCAAGGTAAGCAAAAAAAACACTACTCCTGCTTCTGGGCTCCAGGATTAAGGAGGGAAATGATAGCACAGAGGTTGAAGGGTCAGGGTTTGGTTCAGTTTGGGTTCGGCAATTGCTTCGCTGCTCCATACCCCCAGACCACCAGCCCTGAACCCTCAAACGAACCCTGACCACGGGGTGCATGTACCCAAATAGTATATACTTGGGCCCTCAAGTGGTCCCTATATAGGTAATAGGCACTTTTGGGGCTAAACTTATCTAATTTTTGGGGTACATGGACCCTTATATCCCCAGACCTTATACAACCCTTACAGCAACCCGTAAATGATCCCTATTTGGGCACAAGGACCCTTCGGGTAAGTTGGGTTCTCGGGGCTGCTCAGAATACTTAGCTGAACCCATCCTTGCTCTTTTTTGGTGCAGGATTTGGGGTTTAGGGTGTAGGGCACCTGGACCCCAAAAGTATGTAGGATACTAGCCTTTTATGGGCGTTGGGCCATTATTGTACCTACTTTGGGGTTTGAGGTAGGGTTTAGAGTTTAGGGTTCGGCAACCTTTACGAAAGCCCCTGCATAGAACCACTGTCGAAAATGCGCAGTGAGCGCTACGTGCAGTGATGCGTTGCAGACTGGTAATCTGCCCCGTGACGGACCTAATGTAGGGGCCTTACCAATTAGAACAGGGTTTTGCGGGCTCCTTAGCATAATTGTGATATAGTAAACCCTTAACCGGGGCCCCAACCCTATTCTAATTATTAACCCTGAAACCTTTTGCAACTGGCCTGCCCTGAAACCTAAACCCTGAACCCTGGAAGTTGCAAGCAAGGCACGTTTTCGACGATGCCCTGTGAGAGAAGCGGCGCCCCCGCTTTCCCGACCTACCGCGGCATTCCGGCACGAGAGACTCTGCTCCGGTTGGGGGGGGGGGGCTCGGGGTTTAGGGTGTAGATTAGGGTTTAGGGTCTAGGGTTTAGGGTTTAGGGTGTAGGGTGTAGGGTGTAGAGTTTAGGGTTTAGGGTTTAGGGTGTGGGGTTTAGGGTTTAGGGATTAGGATTTAAGGCTTTAAACCCTAAACCTGTGTGGATCTCGAGGTTAGAGTCCCTTTAAGGGATCCTTTGTACAAGGGTTGCCGTGCTGCATTGGATGCCCTAATTCAGAGACGCTAAACCCTGAACCCCAAATCCCTAAACCCCGAACCCTATAGACTATAGACCCTAAACCCTTAACCCAAAAAACCCTA